CCAGCTGAAACTCTACTTACCTCCAGGTGAGAGTTCTGGTGCTTTGGACCCACGTGAAAGCATGGAAAGGTACTTGTAGATACTTTCAAAGTCCACATGGAATCCTTGCTCTTCTGCAGGAGCCTGTTCTGCACTTGATGGGAGGATCACAGTCTGAGAGTCTTCCCTTCTTTCATCATGTGCACCTGGGGATGAACGCTGTTTGGTCTTTGCATCCACAGGCTTTGGGGGCACAGAATGAAGCAAGCTGAGGGGCTCAGAAGATGCAACAGTTAGAACCTGGGAGGATGGGTATACAAAGACAAGAGACTTCAAATGAAGAAGTGAATCCACCCAGTGCCCCAACAATTAAAGATTTCCTGTGGAGTACAGTGTATTTCCCAGCATTTGTCTCCTCCAAAGTAGCTGCTTGCAAAGGCACGGGCCTCAAATACAAGACAGCCAGAACAGGTCTCCCATGCTAGTGTATTCATAGCAGTAATTCTCTGATGTTAGTAAGGTAACAGGATATATACCGCACTTACCTGAGAAAATGCAGTTGTCACACTGTTCTCAAGACTACCTGTCAACTTCGTAGCCAGCTCTGTCCATACCTAAAACAAGAAAACAGCAGGTAAAAACCTGAATCCTTTCCAACCCAATCTAACCGATACCCATAAACGTTTTGTACCTCAATAGGCGCTAGAGTTGGGCCATTCTGCTGTTGATGCTTGACAGATTGATATTGTGCCTTGACTGCTTCCTTCGCTACCCTTTCTTTCAGATGCTGCACGAAGGCCAAGATCTGTGACAGAATATTTTAGACAGTTTCAGAAGGTAGCTGTGTTGGTCTGCAGTAGAATAGCCAAATTCAAGTCCAGTAGCACCTTAGAGACTCACAACATTTTCAGGGTATGAGTTTCAAGGTCAAAGCTTGCTTTGTCATGCCCCCAAAATTTTATTGGTATTGCTGCTGGACACAAATCTCTCTCTCTGTGTATATACACACACACACACACACACACACACACACTCTCTCTCTAAGCACCTTCCAGCTTTGCTTCTAACTCTAAATAATGGATATATATTTCATGTGTAGACTAGACTCCTGTTCAGTTCTGTGTTCTGACACTATTAAGAAGAAGAAGAGGAGATTGGATTTATACCCTGCCCTTCACTACCCAAAGGTGTCTCAGAGCAGCTTACAAACTCCTTTCCCTTCCCCTCCACATAACAGACACCCTGTGAGGTAGGTGGGGCGGAGAGAGCTCTGACAGAAACTGCTCTTTTTTCAAGAACAGCTCTTATCATAACTACGGCTTGCCCAAGGTCATCTAGCCAGGTGCAAGTGGAGGAGGGGGGAATCAAACCCGGTTCTCCCAGATTAGAGTCCGCGGACTTAACCACTACACCAAACAAGCCAGTTTTCCTTCCAAACACTATTTCTCAGCCACAGGAAATGTAGATTGAGCAAAATTTGTATATTTTGCCAGAATGAAACCCCAGCCATTGACAATCCCTAACCCCATTGTGAATGAAGGTTTCCACCCAGGGACAGGATTGTGTGGTTCCCCTGTTCCTGGTATAGCTGCTGATACAGCACAGTGGCAATGGGGCTTCCACATGGCAGGTTCCCCCCCCCCCCCATTTCCTTGCCCCCCAGCACTAGCAAGCAGCTGGCCTGTAGCTACAGTGGGGCTACTGGGGGCTATACCCCCTTCCTTAAAGGGCCAGCCCTTTACTTAAAGGTCCCCCACTTCTTCTCAAAAGCATTTAAAGGGATCCTTTAAATGCTTTTGAGAAGAAGTGGGGGGTGGCGCACACACCTCTCCTTTCCCTTGTGCACATGCTACCCGCTGATCAGCTGAAGGGCCTTTTAAATCTTGCAAGAGGGGAGGGAGAGGGGTACACGCCACCCCTCCACTTCATTATGGAAAATAATGGCAGCCGCACCAGAAAAAAATTTGCCCCACAAGCCACAAAATCCTGGCTACAGGGCTGTCTAGCAGCCTTCCCTTGGGCCACTAGGGCTTAAAAAAAAATCAGTGATAGGCCTTTCCTTTCCTATTTCTGCAACAGAAGGAGCTAGAGACTTTTTAAAAAAATGAAAGGTGAAGATTCAGGGAACATGTAACACATTGTTATAATGTTAGATCAATATAACCATATTTAATTTCAGGTTGTTTTAAAAAGCTGCCAGTGGTGGCAATGGGGGAGAAATGGCCACCATGGGGAGGGGACAGTGTGTAAAATGGCTGCTACGCAAGTGGGAAAAATCAGAGCTTGCTTACCCACATGGCAGCTATTGAAACTTTATTTCAATCTTTCCCAAAATTTCTTAGCAAAGCAAATTTGAGAAAGGTCAGAGAAAAGCTAGGGGGAATGTAGGAAGAAAATCTGCCTCCCAACAGCATCGAACCTGGGGCAAATAACTCTGTTGGTAACAGCCATATACGACAGGCAGAGGCTTAACCAACATAAGATCGGCCACTCTCCCCACGATCAAGTCGTTTACAGTATGACCCAGTCACAAGCTTGTACTGACCGTCCAAACCCTTTCATGGTATTTTAAATGGTTGTTTTGGAACTCAACATGATACACATAACGGTCCTAAGCACCTCCAAGCATCGCCCAGCCCCAAGTTACATAGTAACCCAACCGTCCTTAAGGATCTCAAGTCAACCTTGCAACGCCCAGTTCTTCAAGGCCAACGCATCCGACGGGAGAGAGATCTCCCCTCTCCCACGCCCTAATCCCACACCCCGGCTATTTTTGCTTCGCCTAGCAGGTCCTGACTGCGTGGAACCGCCGACAAACGGCCTGAACGGCTGAAGCACACAGCCTGTCTGACTCGAATGCTCCCTTTTTAAACAACAGCGTACCCACCTCAGCCTCATCTCTCGAAGGCAGATACTTCTTCAGTAGCTCCGGGCGCAGAGGACCCTGACCGTGAGCTCGTAAGGCCTTGAGAAGGCCCCTCTTTTCTCGAGCTGTCCAAGCGTAGACTAGGGGACCTAGCTCATAGCGAGCCGGAACACAACGCCGTCTTGGCGGCGGCTTCATGCCAGGGAGAACGGGAGAGAACTACTTGCCTCCCCGAATACGGTGCCGCCGCAGTATCTTATCAGCTCCCGCTATCCCCACGCCTCGCCTCGCCTGCCCTGCTGACAAATCTCCACCGCTTCCCCGCCCTACAGACACACCTGAACTTGAAACCACGTTTCCTCGCCCAATAAACCCCCCCCCCCAATCGTCGCCTTTCTAATGACGCACCAAGAACGCAAAATAGGGGCTGGCAATAAACGTAAGAACTGAGAGACGAGACGACTGAAGTCTCGCCACCCTGGGCGAATCACAGGGGAAGGCCGTTGGGTGACGTCACCCAACAGCTCTTGTGGCGGTAGGAGGATGGCGGCTGCTGGTTTGCTGGGATCCTGCAGACGTCGCGGGGGCTGTCCCAGCAGGAAATCCCAAGGCTCCCTCCAGCGCCATGGAGTGGGATATATTGTGATTAAATGTGGTCTCATTTCTGGCCAGGCGGTCAGAGCCGCAGCCGCTGTAGGGCTCTTTGCGCTATTTCTGTGCCAAGAGCCTGGCATGAAGACTGGTTGTTGGTTTATTCCCCTTGCTTTGTGGCCGAGAACTGAAGGAAATCTGCCGCGGGATCTCTAGGAAAGGGTGTGTGTGTGTGTCCCACCATTATTACCCTCTGATTTGACGGAAATGTAGAGTGCATGCACACTACAGCAATGAGCGTGTTTGTGTGCCCATAATAGCTACCTAACGGGCAAAAACCCGCAGACAAAACTTTTCCCTGCCCCACAGTGACAGAGGACGGGAAGACACTCCCTTGTTCATAACCAGGCGGCCGCCTTACTAGTCACCTCAGTAGCAGATTGTTCTGTAGAAAAATGGCTGCTTGCGCACTGGGCCTTTGCGTAGACCTGGAGTATCTGGGAATGCTGATTCTGTGAATTAAGGATGATCATGAGATGGAGAGCAGGAAGGGTTACATCACTGCTTAGTTCTTGTGACTCTTTCTTACATGCTCAGGGAATTGCTGATTGCCACTTTGGGGTCAGGCAGCATTTTTTTCTCCAGGCCAGTTTGTCTGGAGATCCTGAAGGTTTTTTTTTTTTTTGGTCATCTGGGAGTGGATACTCAGGGCTTGACAAATCCCAGGTGCCATGTTGTTATGGCGCCTAGAAATTTCATTATGGTGCCTATTATTTTCAGAAATGATTTTGTTATGATGTTTTTATTATAATAGCCAGGGTTACCCAGTATTTATTTATACACTACAACACTATTGTCATATTATATTGTGAATAAAATTATAAAAAAACTGTGAAGTGCTTAGTAGTAGGCTTTGTGGTAGTAATACTGAGAAGATTTCCTTGAAATACAAAACTCTAAAGGCACCTACATTTTTGGGCTGGCTTCGACATCCAAAGAAAATTGGTCAAGGTCTACTCTGGTAAAATCCATAATAATGAATGTGAAAGGATCTTTTGCTGGAACCAAGGTTTTGGTCCCTGTTCCCTTGTCTCCTGTTCTAGATACCCTAAAGAGGTGTCTGTGATGAATTTTAGACAGACGATATATTCCGGAAGAGGAATGGTTCCCAAACGGTTTCTGGCCTGTCATTTCAGACAGAACCCGTTTTAGAACTGGTTCCCTACCGGAATATATTTGTCATTTCATACATGAACGCTTCTGTCCCGTTTAGGAAACGGGGCTGAAGCGTTTTACCTGTCAACCGCTTCCAAGTAGTCTTCAGTTCCCTCTCCTGGTTCCGATGCACTTTCCCCCGCTGTTTTTCGCCTGCGTGGGCGATCTCCAGCTTTTTTCTCTTGAACGTTTGCTTTATAGCGTTATATCGCTATAATGCTATACCGGAACCTCAAACTAGTGCCATGGCGATCCCATCGGAATGCCTGGACTCCACTGGGATACATGCGATGGCTACATCTGCCCCCTGGAAACAATTACCCATTGGACAGCGGCTTCCAGCAGGACATCAGGGCATCACCGATTGGTGACAGCGATGTTGCTAACCCTTCCATGCCCAAAGACAAGTCAGGGGAAGGTGAGGGGGTTGTCAGTTTGCCCCCTGGAAACTACCCCATTGGACAGCAGGTTCAGGTGGGAGATCAGGGCATCAGAGAATGACATCTCCCTCCGCAAAGGAATGGAGTTTGGACATAGTATCTTTTAGAAAAGCTAGTTGGCCACCATTAGGGGCATATAAGGTAGCTATCGTAATTGGGCGGTTATCAAGTAATCCTTTCACAAAAAGAAACCTGCCTTGGGGGTCGGTAATCTTAGAGAGAACTGAAAAACTCACGTTTCTGGAAATCAAGACTGCGATGCCTCTCGATTTAGGTGTGCCGGACGCCAATTTAGAAGATTTGAAGATAAAATCATTGGTTTTCCTAAGATGTGTTTCCTGGAGGAGGGTACCATCTGGATCAAGTTTTAGTAAATTGGACAAAATGTGTTTTCCCTTAAGCAGATTATTCAATCCACGGACATTAGAAGAAATCACTTTCAGAGTATTAATAGCCATGTTGGAACACTCATTATTATTTGATTTAAATAGAGAGATGGTTATTTCTCTCCAAAGTGATATGTAGTGGTATCAGTTATAATAAGACAGAAAAACCAGACTCTGTAATTATGGATACTCCTACGAAATCCCAACAATATTCTGATTACTTGTTGAAAGGTTATGCAAGATTCTAGTCTGAAGTACTAGTGAATTGTAATGCTAAGAAAAAAGGGGAAATAAAAGATTTTTGGACAGCTTTTAACCCACTCAGATCAAATTAGCTGAATATAACAAGGCTTAAATTAATCAAAACTATCAAATTATTATTTTCTATTTTTCTATCAATAAATATAAATATATTAAAACTAAAGATAGCAGTCCTTAAGACTGTTTATATTATGCAGAAATCAATTATTCTCTATAGAATGAAAATAATGCAATATTACATTAAGGTAAAATCACAATAATAATGAATTAATTAGTCAATCAAATAGTTTTCCAGATGTCAATTAATCTAGGGTATCCAATCAATTATGCAACACTCAACAATTAACTCACAGTATAAGACAATTAATTATATAGATAAAAAGTTCTATCTAAATTTGTTTTGTTTTTTTACAAATGCTAAATCAACAATAAAATGTAACAATATTTGTCAAAAGATTCAGATTACAGCCAAGGAGTTCCCCTGACTCCTGCAGACTTCAAAAATGAATGATCTGCTGTAGGATGGGTTACAATAACCCAGCAAGTAATTGTGGGAGCACAAGAGGTGGTGTAAGGCTGAAAACAATCCCCCAATCCAAGTTCCCTCCCCCTTTCATTTAACTTACCGATATATATAACTAACTATTGTAAACTTTCACTTTGGGAAAGAACAAGCACTAACTTCCCCTGACTTTTATTCCTTCAAGATGAGAAATCCAAAAAAAACACCAATGGTTGAAAACAGGCATGTATCAAGTTCAGTATCTCACACATAACATTCTACTTAATTCACGTTAACTATCTAACTAACCAGAATTACGCTTATCTCCCTTATAAATAAAAGCCGAATGGTGGTGGCACTTCTCTAGAACATTCCACACGCTCCAAAATCAGTTCGCTCTCTGATCTGTCATTCAGAGGGTCTCCCTATCCACTGGCTGCTTTGCCTGAGTCCTGAGTCCTGCCTCCAACATTCCTCTCCCCCCCCATAGCCAGTCAGAACACAGAGGTTATTTGCATATGCAGCCTCATTGGCCTTTGCCTCGTAACACAGAGTTCGTTTGCATATGCAACTTGATTGGCTTTTGCCTCTAACATTCTAAACAGTTTGCTATTCTGAGGTAAAATGTGTCCAATCTCCAGGTGAGGGCTGGAGATCATTCAGAATTACAACTGCTTTCCAGATGGCAGAGATCAGTTTCCCTGGAGAAAATGGTGGGCTCTGTATCCTTATATGCTGCTGAGGTGGCTTCCATATGACAGCCAATGTGACATAGCAGTCAGGGCTTCAGAGCACGGGAGAGGCTGCAGGTGTGTGGGGGGTAGAAAGCTGAAGAGTGAGGGGGAAATAAAGGTAGATTGATGATTGGCTGGGAAGGAGATAGGGTTGCCAACACCAGGTGGGAAATTCCTGGAGATGTGAGGGATGGAGCCTGGAGAGGGTGAGGTTTCAAGAGGCGTGGGACCTCAGACAAGTACAAAGCCATAGACTCCACCCTCCAAACTAACTATTCCCTTCTGGGGAACCATAGTTGCCAATCTCCAGGTGAGGGCTGAAGATCACTCAAAATTACAACTGTTCTTTAGGTAGCAGAGATCAGTTCCTCTGGAGAAAATGGTGGTCTCAGTGTCATTATATCCTGCTGAGGTCGCCACAGCAAATTGACACTGAGTGTCCAAGGCCGGGGCACCCGCCCAGAGCCTCTTTCTAGAGGTCGTTGTATTTATTTCCAAAACGGGCCTTTTTCCTAGTTTAAGTATATTGCTTAATAAGTCATAAACAAACCCAGTAGATTACAAAAATACACAGAATTGCAGCCCATTACAACTAAGACTAAGTGATGTCAGCAGCAGCAGAGCGATGGGACGATGGGGAGGAAGCTAGCTGTTTATTCTCGAATGGCGGAGATGAGGAGTCAAATCTTCTTTTATATGACCTTTGCACAATCTCCATGGGTATTTCAATGTCTAGAAAGCGCAGTAGTTTGTATCCTTCTTCCAATTTGGAGATCTTATGTGGCTTCCCTTGATGGATAACCTGCAGCATTAAGGGGGAGATCCATTTGTAGTGACAATTAGCTTCTAGTAGCCGGCTTGTAATTGGTTTCAGTTCCCGCCTTTTCCCCAGCACCTCCGGGGGCAGATCAGGGTACACTTCAACTTTTCACCCTTGATAAGAAAGATGACGACGTTGTCTTGCCTTCAACCAAAATACATTGTTTAAATCGTAGATCCATTACAGTATTGACTGCCAAAATCCAAATTGGAATCCCATATAAGAGCTGGTTAACAACCTTCGTCTGAAAAATATCTGAAGGATTTAACTTGTTCCACAGGTTTCCCATCTACCTTCCATGAACAGGGTTTAGGTGCTAGTGTCATGGGTCCTGGCTCAGCCGAGGCTGACTATTCCTCAGAAGAGGAAGAGGCACAGAGCAACTCAGCCTCCTCTGGAGTCTGCCCCG